GGGGGGGGGGGGGGGGAGGCTGGATTCCCTCTTACTGCTTCTCAAATATTTTTAGGCCCAGAGCCGCATCAGGAAGCATCAGGACACTCAGGCTCACAGCGGTACCCTTGTGCGTCGGACCTTTTTCTTTCGGTAAACCGATGCTGTAAAATGAACGACAGGAACAGGAAGGCATCTTTGCCAGCTTCTGCTGGGCCATGGCACCGTGGAGGGGGGGGGTCACGTTGTCCTGGGACAGGCCTGGTCGTAAGAGGGGGGCCGGCAGGCCTAACAGCAGGCTACTGTGGCTTTGGATGTGTCCCCGCCCTTCAGAGGTGGCCGCTGTCTGGGTCCCTCCAGCTTCGTACTCAGCTTTGTGGCTGTGCCTCTGCGGTGTGACAGACACACATTAAAACCCCACGTCTCCGCCACTGTTACCGGCTGGCTCTTGATAGGCTCCTGCTTGCTCGTCCGTCAGAAAGGTGATCCTGGATCCAGATGAGAGATCTGCTCCAAGTCCCACAGAAACATGGATCTCCTGTCATCTGCAGGGACGGCTTTTGCTTGCCCCGCCCCCGGCTGCTGTTCGATGACAGGGAATTCTGGGAAGGAGGTGAGGGCTGCGTGGGATGGGGGGCAAAAGGCACCTCGTTGAGTTCAGGTTTTATAGAAAATGTTTTAGAAAATGATTACCCCCCCAGAAATCCACACACCCCACCACCACCAGCCACTCAGCTGCATCTAACTTTAGCACCTGTGCAAGCATGCCCCCCCCCCCGAAAGCTGGGGTCACCAGTCGGCCGCATGTTTGCTCGCGGGCAGGGGGGGCTCAGATCACGCTCCATAGGAGGGTGTAGTACCGGTGGCCATGTGACGTGATCCGATCCCGTAGCGTCGTGGTGCAGCCCGCTGCCAGCCCCCTACTGCTGCATGCACTGCCGGGAGAATCAAGATCAGTGCAGATTGATCTCCCCCCAACCCCCCAAGAGTGGCGACCTTCCCTCAGATGCCGTCTGTCCGTTCCCATCATGGCCGGAGCCTCTTAAGTCCTTCTGGTTTTTTGTTTTTTTTGGGGGGGGGGGGGGTTGCTCTTCATGACAGAAAATTGAATCACTTTTAATCCGGAGCTTAATTGCCTGAGCCGTCTGCCTAAATGCATTCGGCTGCCTGGTGCCTGCCGACGCAACCTGGGCTGTAATAACATCCCTGACTGCCGGTGTTCTGCACACAGGAGAGGAGGCCACAGCACCTTGGCCCCCTGGGGCCACTGACAGAGACATCAAACACTCCCACAGCCCCCCTGGTGCCCCTGCCCCAACCCTCCTCCTCCATCTGCTCGCAGAGATGCCACCCTGGACGGCGGCATCCGGGCCCCCTCGCGCTTTGGGGCTACACTCCAGCAGGGGGCCCCGCTCTCCATATCCCTACCAGAACGATGGCTATGGGCCCCCACTCGTCCGCCAGCAGGGGCCCCGCTGTCTGTCTCCCTGCTGTAATGGATGCTATGGGCCCCCATTCGTCCGCCAGCAGGGGGCGCCGCTCTCCGTAGCCCTACCGTTACGATGGCTATGGGCCCCCACACGTCCACCACCAGGGGCCCCGCTGTCTGTCTCCCTGCTGTAATGGATGCTAAGGTCCCCCACTCGCCCTCCAGGAGGGGGCGCTGCACACATTTGGTTTTACTTTGCTGGAGTTCAGGAGCCAGAGCTCCTGGCTTCACTTCCTGCTCTGAGTGCTGGCTGATGGTCCTTCACTCACATCCTGAACAGAGCTTGTGGGTATTTCTGACCTGCCTGGACGTAAACCTGCACAGCACTGGCCTTCCACCTCAGGCCGGGAGTCAGATCTCCTTGGCGCTCGTCGGGATGGCCCGGGTTCGGGCCCCGGAGTCCGCTTACTTCCCATCTGGTCGACCGCTTATGAGAGAGACAGGAATGTCCATGTCAGGCCCCCGAAAGTGGATATGAGCTGGCGAACACCGCGTTTGGGCCCACAGCCGCTTGGCTGCCTCCTGCCGCTTCGGCTTTTTCTTTGTATGTTCCTCGCAGTGGTGGCCTTTTGGGGGGGGGGGACGGGCGTCAAGCTGCGCTGACTCTCTGAGGAACCCGCCGGGTGGTGCTGTGCCCCCCCTCAGCGTCTCGCACGACACGTGGTGCTGGTGGGGTGTACTACATTATCCCGGCGGCAGATGGGAGGCCCCCGCTCCCCGCTTGTGCTGGGGGGGGGGGGGGGGGGTGCCCCGCTAAAACTGCCAGGCCCAGCTGGTACCTCTGAAGCCCTTGCAAGTGTCTCTCCTCACCTCCTGATACCCTGAGGAACTCGACTCCCTGCAGTAAAGTGAGGAGGACATTAAAAGAGCATAGGGCTGTGTTTTGGGCTTCCTGGGGTGACCCTGCCCGCTTCCCCGTGTCCCCGCATCCCCGCTTCCCCGCATCCCCGCTTCCCCGCTTCCCCGCTTCCCCGCTTCCCCGCTTCCCCGCGTCCCCTCGTAGCACCTTCTGCTCCCACAGACCCTCCAGATGCCGGCATCTTTAATGTGCTCGCTGGCTCACTGGCTGTGCGACTGCTCTGTGTCACTCAGGTGACAGATGCCCTGGTGTATCCCTCGTGCTGCCGTCAGCCCCAGTGTGGAGGACACTATAAGCCCATGTGCTTTTACTTACAGCCAAGCTGCTCTGACGGTGCAGGTTGCCAAGTGTAGCGGGTCACTCTGCCTTTCTGTTGTCCGTTGCCTAGCAGAAAAAAATCAACACTGGTCACCGGAGATGGGTTGCAGAGTCTCGCCCCTGAGAACCTGGACCCTCAGCTGGGGCTTCACGGTGTACGGGGACCGACTTGCGGTTTAAGCTGTCTACACGCAGTCGGCGATGCCGGAAGATGGCCATCGTGTTAGCAGATCGGGGCCACGTTTGTATCCCTGCGAGTGTGAAGCCATCCGGAAGGCTGTGAGCTCAGCGTGCGAGAGGGACGTCCTTAATCAGGTCAGCGCCTCGACCACCTACAGGGGGCACTACTCTGCCAAAAGCCAGGATGGAGCCATGCAGGTCCAGCCCCAGCCCAGCTCTCCCACCCGGCGGCAGACCCCACCACGCGCAGTGAGAGCTCTTAAGCATCTTAGTTACGATTCACTAATGCTTCTTCAGTTTTATTCTCTGTTTCAGCTAGTCTTTTAGGACAGTGTTTCCCAACCCGCTCCCTGCCAGGCGGTCCACACCTTTTGCTCCCTGGGAGATAGCAAAAACACAGACTGTCTGCAGGTCCCCGAAGATTGAATTGGGAAACTGGGATTGTTTTAGGAGGTATGGAGTGAGAATTGGCATCACAGGAAGGTGTGAACCAGAAAGGGCAGCTTTTCTGCATAAAAAGTGACTCCACTACCTGCAGATCGCAGGCGGCCAGCATTGCTGCATGGCTCCCCCCCGCATGTGGATAAAGCGGGATGCAGACAAAGAAGGAACCGGGAGGATATGTGAACTAACACCTGCGTGCTGCCAGAGGGGCATGCTGACAAGGAATGCTATTAGGATGTTAGACAGCACTCTGGATGATTTTAATTCCGTATTCCCCCATTTAAAATGGCAGGTCATGTCGATGAGGCCTGAAACAGTGTTCATTTGGTTACTGTATTACAATCATTTGATTAATAGAGAATTGATAGCTGAATTAGCATTTTTTATACTAGTGCAGTCAGGGAAATGAATGTATGGACACAGTATATTGGCTTTTTTTTTTACATTTTTAATGTAAATTGTTTTGTAGGGCATTCATAATGACCAAGGAGTACCAATCAGCTGGCCGTTTCACCCCCAAAATCCACAGGTCAGTCTGCTTTCACGCAGAAAGCCATTAGCCGTCTGTGATGCCGCTTGAAATTGTACAGAAATGATTGTCCTTGACTTAATTAATAGGTGAAAAGTGGGATAATGGGCACATTTCCAGAAGGCCAATATTCAGAAGGCTAATAAGGAAGCAGTGTGAGCGTCTCCAAGTGGCAATGCAGACAGTACTGAAGGTCCCTGTCTCTCTCTGCCTGTCTGTCTCTGTCTCTTTCTGCCTGTCTGTCTCTCTCTGCCTATCTCTGCCTGTCTCTCTCTCTGCCTGTCTGTCTCTTTCTGCCTGTCTCTCTCTGCCTATCTCTGCCTGTCTCTCTCTCTGCCTGTCTGTCTCTTTCTGCCTGTCTGTCTCTCTCTGCCTATCTCTGCCTGTCTCTCTCTCTCTGCCTGTCTGTCTCTCTCTGCCTATCTCTGCCTGTCTCTCTCTCTGCCTGTCTGTCTCTTTCTGCCTGTCTCTCTCTCTGTCTGTCTGTGTCTGTCTCTCTCTCTGCCTGTCTCTGTATGCCTGTCTCTCTCTCTGCATGTCTGTCTCTTTCTGTCTGTCTCTCTCTCTCTGTCTCTCTCTCTGCCTGTCTCTTTTTGCCTGTCTCTCTCTCTGCATGTCTGTCTCTTTCTGCCTGTCTCTCTCTCTCTGTCTGTCTCTCTCTCTGCCTGTCTGTCTCTTTCTGCCTGTCTCTCTGTCTTGTCTGTGTCTTTCTCTCTCTCTGCCTGTCTCTTTTTGCCTGTCTCTCTCTCTCTCTCTCTCTACCTCTGTCTGGCTGTCTTTCTCTCGGTCTGTCTCTGTTTCTTTCTCTGTCTCTCACAGTTTGTCTGTCTGCATCTCTCTGTCTGTCTGCATCTCTCTCTCTCTTTCTCTCTCTCCCCTTCCCTTCTTTCAGTAAGGGCTAAAACAGACCCTCATTTGAAAGCCAGCAGCCTTTCAGGCTGAAGTCTCAGTCCAGTATTTGATCCTCGACCTACTGGCTCCATACAAAAACATCACAGACTTAAATATATTGAATGTTTAACTGGGGACTATGGACTGAAGTCCATTGTCAGGCTTTCAGCTTAGGTTAAAGCATTTTAACTGTCATTAATTTCAGATCTGAGATTCACACTGATTGCCTTTGGCCTGCCTGTTTTATGGTCTCCTCTCTGACAGGTGACTGGTTTATGGGCTGTTTACCTCCACACTGACCTATCAGGAGCAGGTGACCACGGCCAGTTTCCATGTCCTCAGGTTCCATGTCCTCAGGCCCCCTGCTGGCCAGTCAGTCTCCTACAGCGAGGAGGTCAGCGCTCCTCTCATCACCTGCTCATCTCTCCCGTTTTATGGCCCCCAGTCCGCATTGCACTCCATGGGCAGACGGCGGTCCCCCCACACGGCCCACCCAGACACCTGACACGGCGCCCCCCCATCCAAACGAGCTGTGCATCTGTAAAGATGCATGTAACGGGAGCGGCGATGTTCCCCGAGCAGCGCCACCAGATCACATGTCTCACAAATTAAATATTTCACATAATACCGTCCCTGGAATAAGGAACTTTTATATTAATGCGGTGCCTCACAACAGGAATCAGTGAAATAACTGTGAAAGGTACAAAAACAGAGGTACACAGACACACACACACAGCTACACACTGAGACACACAGACAGGCACATAGACACAGACAGACACATGCACGAGCACGCACGCACGCAGACACACAGACGCAGACACAGACAGACAGACAGACAGACACACACACATGTGCGAGCATGCGCACGCACTAGGGTGGGGTGAAAAAATCTAAATTTCCAATAGCAATTTCCAATAGTGCGGAAAAGTTGTCACTGGACCTCGTTATTAAACGTGCAAAATATCTTTGAAATAGGTTAATATTTTCAGGTTCCACAACGTGGAAATTGCTATTGGAAATTCTGATTTTTCCACCCCACCCTAGCACACACGCACGCGGTACAAATGTGTTTTAATCTCCATGAATTATTCATTTTGTATCCTATTATTCATTTTAAAGTGTCCCGCCTGGCAATCCGGCATAGCCAGAGGTGCCCCTGCAGATGTGGAATGAACAGCCCTGACCTTCACTTAATCAGTGGACGCTGGTGGATTGGTACAGGGGGGTTACCCCCCCGTCCTGCCCTTCTGATGGCACGCTCCTTGTCCGATGGCAGCTCTCCATGTCTGTTTAGTGAGACACAGACGGGCTGAGGGCCAAACCCTGAGTGGCTGTTGGCCGGCCTGCCAGAGGCTTTGGGGGCGGGACGCATCAGGGCCTGGTACGCATGGTTTAGTGCATCAGGACCCCCTGGGGCTTGTAGAAGGTCCTTTGGCATCTTCACAGGCCTGTTTTATTGATTTTCTGTTATGGGTAGAGCCACGTCTGTGGGAGGGGCTTATTGGGGGGTGTGGCCTTGGGCGTACCTAATGTGGGGGTGCTGAACAGCCGCCCCGTGGCACATGCTGGACCTGCTGTGTACCTACCTTCTGCTCCTTCTCCCAGCCGTCTGTTCAGCTGGCCAAAGGTCACAGGTAGAGAAGATGTGGCCGTCGCTGCCCCCCCGCCGCCCCCACCCGTGCCCTTGTGGGGCTCAGTATTAAGTGTTCCGGCTTTGCGACAGCTGCTTGTGGTTAATCTCATGAGCGGGTCGCCCACCCCCCCAAGTTAGAGGGACAGGCCTACCTCCGTGTGGAGAAGGTGTGGCCTGTAGCTCGTGGCTGTGATCCAGGGCCTGGCTGCAGGACCTCCTCCTTGGGAACTTTCCCAGACCTCGCCAGGCCCGAAGGCCTCAGAGACGGCCTACTGCCACCCAGATGAACTGCCATCCCGCTTGGCCTCCTCATGCTGTTCTTCTGGGGAAGTGGATTGTGCTCCTTTGTTCCTCACATAAACAGGAATGGGGGGAGGGTTCCTCTGTATGAAGTTATAACCCCCAAGAAGTATATTGTCTTCTGTCCCGAATGAGGGACTGCTGCTCTTCTGTCCCAAACGAGGGAATGCTGCTCTTCTGTCCCAAACGAGGGAATGCGGCTCTTCTGTCCCAAACGAGGGAATGCTGCTCTTCTGTCCCAAACGAGGGAATGCGGCTCTTCTGTCCAAAACGAGGGACTGCTGCTCTTCTGTCCAAAACGAGGGACTGCTGCTCTTCTGTCCCAAACGAGGGAATTCTGCTCTTCTGTCCCAAACGAGGGACTGCTGCTCTTCTGTCCCAAACGAGGGAATGCTGCTCTTCTGTCCAAAACGAGGGAATGCTGCTCTTCTGTCCCAGAAGACGGAACACTGCTCTCCTCCGCAAGCCTCTCCTAAATGTTACATGACTTATCAATCAAGGCCAGGCACCTGCTGTCTTTGGGCTCATGCATTAAATGAACATGAACCATTATTCTGTTTAATCAAATCACTAACATGTAATCATATTTTAGAGCTTATCAGGTTTGCATTTCAAGTGTAAACTTAATTTTTAATTCTTCTTGTCCAGTTTAATGCATCTGCTGTGTGTGTTTGTTCTGCATGTGGAGTGTAAGGGGTTAATGTGTTTTTCTCTCTGGCCACTAGGACCGACGGGCAAATCCAACCGACCAAACACAAGCTCCTGGATTCGTCCCAGAAGCCAGTCCGACACAAACAAAGAGGTACAGTGTGACCCGTTCACCTGTAGTGCTGTTCTACAGCTACACGAAAGTCCCAGGTGGGGCACGCTCTGCCCTTCAGCGAGATGTTTCACCTGAACCCGCGCTCGGAACCCGAGCCGCAGTGTTTTTATTCACCGTGAGCCTTGCAAATGTCCTTGAATGTCTGGTAAGCAGATAAAACGCCTGACACCAGTTCAGAAACTCGCAGCCCGTTTCATGGCAGTTATGAGAATTTCACGTGCCGTTCATGCCGATAGCGCTGGCCGATCTTCCATTTCTTTGTGTCCACTGCACTGGGACACCGTTGTAAAAGGTGATGGGGGACCCTGGCTCCGGGACAGGAGCCGGCCTTGTAGTTATGCACAGTTCCATGGAGCAAACAGATTTTATGCATGCACCCCACTCCTGGAAGGCATGGAGTACAATACCACCCCCCCCAATCAGAAGTATAATACCAACCCCCCCCCCCCCCCCCCCCCCCCGTTAAGGACCTGCAGATGTAGAATGGAAGGTCAATGTGGAAATGGAAATCAATCTAAAGAGTTTCTTTGATGAGGTGTCACTCTAAGCTGCTGTGTGGTCTGTATTCTTTGTTATGTGTTCAGCCTATGTGGTGCATGTGTTCTGTTTGGTATACACTGTCCGTGTGGTGTATGCTGCCTGTAAGGTATGTGGTCTGTGTGGTGCATGTGGTCTGTGAGATGTATACCATCTGTGAGGTGCAAGTGGTCTGTGAGGTGCATGTGGTCTGAGATATGTATATTGTCTGTGAGGTGCATGTGTTCTGTGAGGTGTATACTGTCTGTGAGGTGCATGTGATCTGTGAGGTGTATACTGTCTGTGAGGTGCATGTGATCTGTGAGGTGTATACTGTCTGTGAAGTGCATGTGGTCTGTGAGGTATATACTGTCTTTGAGGTACATGTGGTCTGTGAAGTGTATGCCATCTGTGAGGTATACACTACCAGTAAAACATTTTTCACACACTGAGAATTTCTGCATTTGCATGTTACTCACTTAAGATTTACATTACTTAACATTAAACATATACTCAATATTCTTTGCTAAAAATACATTTACAATATGTTCACCATTTCAGTACCTTTATTAGCAATGTGATATATTTGATTCATCAAAGGCATTCTTTCCACAAGAGACATTAAATACTTCTGTTTCATGGGATGAAATGGTTATTTAAAGTTAAAGGACAGCCTAGAATCTGACTCTGCCATCACCACACAACCAATTAATAGGATGTCACATGCACTGGTATAAACTCTTTCCATGTTATAAAGAAAGCTTGTTTTATTTGACTTATATTTTCATTTATAGTTGTTCACTTAACTTTGCAATACTTAACAAGAGTAAAAAAATTATTAAATAAATTGAAAAGTTGTAAAAAACCTGTGGTGTGCAAAGACTTTGGACTGGTCGTGTATATGGTCCGTGAGGTGTATATGGTCTGTGAGGTGTATATAGTCTATGAGGTGTATATAGTCTATGAGGTGTATATGGTCTGTGAGGTGTATATGGTCCGTGAGGTGTATATGGTCTGTGAGGTGTATATGGTCTGTGAGGTGTATATAGTCTATGAGGTGTATATAGTCTATGAGGTGTATATGGTCCGTGAGGTGTATATGGTCCGTGAGGTGTATATGATCCGTGAGGTGTATATGATCCGTGAGGTGTATATGGTCTGTGAGATGTATATGGTCTGTGAGGTGTGTATGATCCGTGAGGTGTATATGGTCCGTGAGGTGTATATGGTCCGTGAGGTGTATATAGACTATGAGGTGTATATGGTCTATGAGGTGTTTTCTGTTTTTTGCCTCATAAGACATGTCAGTGCATTTATATATTTGGGGTGAAGGTCATCGTATCTGGAACCTGCTGACAGCTGCCTGTGGGGGGGGGGGGGGCGCTTTACCAATGTCCTTTGCAGAGACAGAGGGTTGTGTTTGGTGCGGGGAGCTCTTGCATGAATGACCCTGGTCCCATACAGCAGTAGGTATCTTCTCCACATTCGGCCACTTGTGCATGGACCAGGGGTCTCCAACTCTTGGCTTCTGATGAGCATCAACTGGTCCAGGTATTTACCTGAGAACAGGTGTGGCTCATCAGAAACCAGGTAGGATTGAAAACCGACTGGATAGTAGCTCTCCAGGACTGGAGTTGGAGACCCCTGGCATGGACAGTCTCAATCGGTAGGACGTGTCTCTTGCAGACCTTTTCCAGTCCACTCTAGTTTAGGCACATTTGACTGGGACCAATTCCAGTTCCCAGTATTATATGATTAAAAGAGTATAGAAGTTAAGCTTGGAAATGCATCTTTTTCTCAGTTTACCTCCTACAACCTTATTCATCAGCAAGGCCCAAAATGGTTGCCATAGTCCGTCCTCCGGCCTTGCAGGACTCTCTGCAGTCTTAAATCTAAAATGAACATCCTTGATTTTAAGCCGGATCCTCACTTGTCTGACGGCTTTCTCTGTCAATTGATCTCTTCTTAGTATCTAGTTGATGTCTGTACATCAAGATCACAAAGTTCTTCAAAGACACTTCAGATGCCCCAGACTGAAAAAGTGCTTTTGGTTAATGTAACACCAACCGCCTTCATCCAACACAATCAATCCTGGTCCTGCTCTCTCCGAAAGCCTTTTTTGCACACTGGTGCCTTAATTCCCAGTGATTATTAATTGCCCGGCACTGCATAGCTCAGTGTTTTTCCTGCAGAAAGCTTGAGGAACATTTTCAGATCCACTGAGCTCACTTTGGTATTGCTGTGGAACATTCTTGTGTTGAAAAAGAAGAAGCTTAGCTTCTTGGGGGAGGGGGCAGTTTAAAGAGCTTTGAGCAGGCAGGGGGAGGAGTCTGGTGCGAGCCCAAGGCTGCAAGGCGATTCCAGAGACCACGCTTACACTCTGAGCAGATTTTTTTTTTCTCCTCAAGGGGTCATAGGTAGGTCTCAGCTTTTGGAAAATGAGGCGATCGGCCTTACATGCTTCTCCCCAGGGCTGTGAACAAGCCGTATTAAACCCCGACAAGCTGAGCTTACCACCAGAAAATCTCTGGTCAGCAGAAACTCTGTAACTTAAAGGGGCGGACAAGCAGACAAATGCATGCTTGTCCTGCTTGTCGCACTGTTAGTGCTGGATGTGTCATTGTAGGATTTTAATTAAGTAGTTTTTGTTTAGCGGGGTGGGGGGGGGGTAGCATCTCAGCAATAACGCGAGCAAGACACAGCTGAAACAGCCCACAATGATCTTTAAGACATGCATTTGGGGTTTGCCTGCCTGCAAGTGTGTGTGTATCCTGCAGACCGCAGAACCGTGGAGGACATGCTGCAGTTCCTGTGTGAAAACCACCACAGCTCTACAGCTGGAGGTTGTCCGGAGAGACACTGTCTCTGGCAGGTGACCAGGTCACAAGGGGGACACGCCTGCTAACTAACACTCAGCTAGACACGAACCACCTGCCACGACGCTTTAGACATAGCTATGCATCTTTTTTTAGTAGGGGGGGGGGGACCCTGATGAAAATGTATCATCTCTGGAGAATCTCTTAAACAAGGTCCAGGTAATGTGTTCAGGTAACAGACTCCAGCAAGGATAAGTGAAACTGATTGGAATCCCTGGAATTCCAGAAATCCATTCCAGGATCACCTTTCCAGTGACTGACATATTCCGGTATTTTGTCGGGTTGACAGGCTTTCTCCAAACTTTCCCCTGACAAGACGGCAGCTATGTCTGGGTGGCTGAGGTACCTTCACACGACCCCGCAACCAGGCTGTGGAACGCCGTAAAAGCAGCTAAAGGCGCAGGTACGTTCACACGACACGCCACCAGGCTGTGGAACGCCGTAAAAGCAGCTAAAGGTGCAGGTACGTTCACACGACCCGCCGCCAGGCTGTGGAACGCTTTAAAAGCAGCTAAAGGTGCAGGTGCGTTCACACGACCCGCCGCCAGGCTGTGGAACGCTGTAAAAGCAGGTAAAGGAGCAGATACGTTCACACGACCCGCAGCCAGGCTGTGAAACGCTGTAAAAGCAGCTAAAGGTGCTCAGCCATGCTGGTCTTTGCCAAGGACAGCGTGGGAGGGCGGTATGGCTGCTGGCTAAAATTAAACCTGCTGCTTCCGTTCTTATCGCCTCAGTTCCCACGGCCTGGGCACCGCGTGGCAGAGATCACAGCTGTGGAGAAGCTGGTGGAGACCTTGTCCTCCGGCCTGGCGAAGACACACCGAGGACCCCATGCCAAGCTGACCTGCCAGCACAGGAGGGTAGCAGATTTCCAGAAACACCTTGAGTGGGTGCCACAGCCTTGGCACAGGCAGTACTAGCACAGCTCCTGACATCACGACATGTGTGGGTATCTGAGACATACGAGGGTGGGTCCATAACTGCTGCTATGATGTCACCAGTGCCATAACCACGAGCCTGGTCAAGCTTTATTTATTTAGCTGTATTTAGCGATTTCATTGTCTTGAAAAGTGCTTCGTGCTGTTCTCTGGGTATTTGGTTCTCTAGTTTGCTGCTGGTGAGGCCAGGAAGATGTAATTCTACTGGTCTCAAACTAGATTGCTGAACATCATCAAACAATCTGCTGTTTGAGAAAAGATAAGAAAATCTTATGTGTAAGGAAATAGCCAAATGTATCTGTGGGCCAGTGTGAATGTCAGGCCCTCCTTTCTTTGAGAAAGGCCACTCCAGCAACGCTAGGTGTTAATTGCTGACCTGTTCAGGAGTCTGTCACAGCGTCACCTCAGCTACAAACGTGTCAGGCGTAGTTCACAGAGTAGCCCAGAGAGCTACATGCTGTGATTAAACAAACAGTTGGAAGTACTGAACTTCAAGCCAGGGTTGGAGGTTATCTTCCTGAAAGGTATGTGTAATGAGACCCCCTGTCCACCAGGGGTCAGTGGACAGAATTTAATACAAGGAAATCGTGGTGGTGGGCTTCATATAAGCAACAGCCCACGGAAAATGAAAAGATGAGCTGTTTGCCATAAAGACTCCTCTATCTATGTAGCTATTCCAGCCCACAAGCTTTTCCCAGGAACTCAGTACAGTTAGTGACGGGAGGGTCGGTACCTGGATGTGAAGCATTTAAGACGTGCTGCTGGAATCCAAGGGCTCTTCAGTGACGGCTTTATAGCAGAGGAGGAATGGAGCAAGGTGCTCCATGGCTGCAGGCAAGCTGTGATGGATGGCTTCCTTAATGTCGGCAAACGCTTCATCTGGGCTTCATCTGTTTTCATTAGTGCAGGCTGAGCTTTGGCTTGGAGCAGGCAAGTAGGGCAGGAGGGGTGAGCGGGCCGACTGCCTTCGGTTCGAGACCATCTTTAGAGCACGTCTGGCACAGGCACCTTCTGAAGAGATGGATGCCACAAGGAAATCACCTAAATCCCATTTCCTGCAAATGTAGAAACTAAATAGTGTATTAAAAATTGTAAAACTGCATTAAATAAAGATAGAAGTCCAAGGATCACCAGGTAGCTGTCTTCTGCCAGTAACACATATGCGCCCTTTCAAAGCACCGTAGAAATGGGCCTTTGTAAATATCTAAATAAAGATATGTATTTGTAGTTGAAAAAGTGTGTTGTGACGGGTTTTGTAAAGTCCACATTTCAGGCAGCATTTCAAATCCACAATGCTCATGGAGGAGGGAAGACGAGGTCAAGGCTGTGTGTGTTTGCCACAAAATGACAGATACTTACTGCATTGAGTTTGATTAGGTCATCAGGACACTTAACAGGCACTGGTTATGCAGCCCAACACAGGAGGCTCCGGTGCTGAGAGATAAAAACTTCGAACAGTCTCAGTGTATTATCATATCGTAGCTTTACTTCCAAATCCTGTTACATCAAAAACTTGCAATCAGAAAAATAACAACAAAGTAAAAAGGACAAAGGACAATGTACAAATGATGGTATTACCAGTCATAGTCACAAACAACCCTGTACAGCCGTAGATGAAGTAATAAAAAGTTTTATACAGTACAGTACATACTGATATTACCCAAACCAATAAGAGATAGACTTCAAAAATGTTATTTAGTCTCATAGAATAATAACATGGAAATTAACTTAAAGCCTGAAAAAGCCTGAAGACATTACAGAATAATAAGTGCATAATCAGAAAAATGAGAAAAAAAATAAGTGCTGGAAGCTCAAGCTTTTTAAAGCATGCAGCTAATGAAGGGTTAAACATAGTAAAGCAATCAGTTAAAATCACTGTGCAGCTTACAGTTAGGCAAAGAATAGCAAAATCAAGTGCTTGGAGACATGGGGAAATTGGAGAGGACCAATCAACAGCCAAATGCCTTAGCTTCGAAATAGGGAGGACCAGCTAAGAACAAAACCTCTCAGCCTCAAAATACGAAGAACCAGCCAAGAACAGAACCTCTCAGCCTCGAAATAGGGAAGACCAGCTAAGAACAGAACTCCTCAGCCTCAAGATAGGGAGGACCAGCCAAGAGTCGAACTCCTCAGCCTTGAAATAGGGAGGACCAGCCAAGAGTCGAACTCCTCAGCCTCGAAATAGGGAGGACCAGCCAAGAGTCGAACTTCTCAGCCTCGAAATAGGGAGGATCAGCCAAGAGTCGAATTCCTCAGCTTCGAAATAGGGAGGACCAGCCAAAAACAGAACTCCCTTGCCTCGAAATAGGGAGGACCTCCTCAGCCTCAAGATAGGGAGGACCAGCCAAGAATCGAACTCCTTAGCCTCGAAATAGGGAGGACCAGCCAAGAACAGAACTCCCTTGCCTCGAAATAGGGAGGACCAGCCAAGAATTCCTCAGCCTCGAAATAGGGAGGACCAGCCAAGAACAGAACTCCTTAGCCTTGAAATAGAGGAGGACCTGCTAACAACCAGAGTTCTTGGGCCTTGAAGCGGAAGAGCACTTGCTAACAGCGAAATCCTTTTGCCTCAAAACAGCTGGTCCTCTTCTAATAGCCAAATGTCTCTGGCATCGAAACAGAAGAGTACTAGCTAACAGTCGAACTCCTTGGGTCCTGAAACAGAAGAATACCGGCGAAAACAGAGAAATTCGAAACAGAATTGGACTGACTAATAACTGATCTCCTCAGGTCTTGACAGAGAAGGGGATTGGCCAAGGGCTAAACTCCTCAGCCTTGAAACAGAGGAGGACCAGCTAATAACTGATCTCTTCGGGCTTCGGCACAGAAGAGTACTAGCTAACAAACGAACTTCTCAGGCTTCAACACAGAAGAGGGCCAGCCAACAGCTGAACTCCTCCGGTCTGGAAACAGAAGAGGACTGGACAAAAGCTAAACTCCTAGGCCTCGAAACAGAAGAGAATTAGCCAATAGCCTAACTCCTCAGCCTTAAAATGGGTAGACCGGCTAAAGACCAAACTTCTCAAATTGAGAGGTTACAGGGATAGGGTGAAGGTATCTCTTTTTCTCCCTGGGTTGATAATATGTGTTATTTGCATGCTGTTCCCTTCCACCATGTGGCACTAGAGTCACACACATAACACAATGGGGGGGTCTTTAAGGGGAGCCCTTTTGGTGCCGACGTGCTGCAGTACATACCAAACCTGCCTAGGCTGGAACTTCGACTCCACAGAAACTCTGGCACAACCTGGTCTGGCAAATGACCAAATTCAGTCCTGACTCAGCAGGTTTGGAGATCTGGGGTTTCTCACATACATTATATTATACCAATCAGAGTTCCTGCTGCAGAAGGGGAACAAGTATACCCTTTCTTACTCAAGTTTTGCTTCGTTAAACTGACGCACACCTGCAACAGTTTAGCAATCATATAGTATTATGTAATTATCCAAAAACAACTGTGCAAAACTGCCTTAATTTCTTTCAGCATGAGCAACTAAGCTCAGAAGTTTAACTGCTCTATGTATAAAAGTCAAACCCAAGGCTGACTGTGTTTCTTCACTTCTTTCAAGATACTGCAGTAACTGCATCAAAAATGGCTAATGAAGCTCATGTTTTCGACTTTTAAAAACTAGAAAACAAAGGAATATAAAATTCAATTTACAATACTCTTTATGACATCTGAAATCGCTTAGCAATACAGATTTTTTTTTTCCATTTTTACCTTTTCAACTTTTGCACCCCATTGCAGTTTAATTCTGCAGAAATTAGATTTCGTTTTGGAATTTCACCATGGACAGACTGTGCAACAGATTAAGTTGGTCAACAGCAGTAATCGTGACATTAACGGATAGGAAAACAATAAGTGCTTGTAACATTCGAAAGTGACAAAAATGCTTCAAATTTGAAACAATCTCACCAGGGCAGTTGAATAATACTGAGAAAAAAAAATAACACACAGAGAAATGTACACATATATCTAGGTCAGATACTGATTTGCCTACCAAAAGTCATGGGACACAGACTTCTGTGAAATGAAACCGATTCTGCATCGGGCTGTTTGGAAACAATGCAGGATTCAGTGTGTCACTGAGCACAGCCGTGGGGCTCCACACACACGCAAGGTCGCAGATGAGCTCTGCTCCTGAAGATGTCTCCTGAGCTTGTAGGATGGCTGGTTGACGCGGCGTGTTCTTGCGAATGTCCAGGTCGTCCCATGACTTTTGGCTGGACGGGGAGGTTAGCAATAGCACACCCACGGCTAAAGGTATTAGCCACGTCTGTGAATCTCGTTTCTGGCATTGGTTCCTGGCGAATTTCTGAATTATTATTCATAGGGGGAAAACAGAAGAATGAAGAGGAAGGCCACCATTTACAGACTCTGTCTTGCCTGATTATTTACAGGGAAAAGCTGTACAATTAGCCCAGTTGTCGCACTACTCTATGTAGAAACGCTACAGGAAACACTGCTCTTCTAAATGCCGCGCTGCCCTCCTCCCCAGCGCAGACAGCCAGGGATGGTCTCCGAGGTGCTCACTTCACTGAGGGACTGCTGCCGATGATATAAAGCACCAGTCAGGCGACACCACACACTCAGCCTCCATTACCCCCTGAGCGACGTGACAGACAGACCTCCATCCGCAGTCACTACTGGCCCCAGAGCCTGATCCGGTCCACAAGGCTCCACTCGGTCACTCCTAAGGACAGCCAAATTGGCGGCTGTACTCTGGAGTCGGACCACGCCACTCACGTTGCGGGAATTCCCAGGAGCGCAGAACAGTAGATGCACACACCAGCAGAGCATAGCGCCGAATTTGCTGCAACACTGTCTGCGAACACTGGAAGCGATCGATCCTGGGCCCAGTGGCACACCTCAGGTAACCCACATGCAGAATTGACTCCACGTACCGCCGAGACATGAGATTCCAGTGTGCTGAGCACCTGGGATCCTTTCTGTGATTTTCCCCATAGTCAAAGTTACACCAAACTTACTGGAACATATATGCAGGCATGCATCTTAATGCACGAGGAAAGACAGAAAATACAGGAATGTGAGGCAGGTCACAGGTCCCTGCTGATCTCTGTCAGAAACGCAGTGGGTCATTTAGACTCACGCACAGGTAACAAAAAACAAAAATATAGATATATTCAATGATACAGAGGGGAGTAAAGCAGCACTGATATAAATGCTTTAAGCACATATTTATAGTTGTTTTAAATATAAATGTGTATTTTTCATGTACCTTGACTACTTTATCCAGCATGTTCTGTTTACTTGGGGGAAAAGGTCCGACTGTCGGATCCAGGTCACCAGTTACACGGCCTCCAGGCCCAGATAGGCGAGAAAGGAGTGCTTCAGGGACTTGGGCGAGAGGGGGTGGGAGAGGGAGGTGCGGGAGGCCGGCCGGATTCGGGAGGCGGGCAGGGTGGAGCAGTGAGACAGGGGGACGAGGTGAGCCAGCTCAGAGCCAAAGTACGTCCCATGTGGCACGGAGGAGCAGGAGCCCTGCCGCAAGAGGTAGCACAAAGCCGGCCCGATCCCCGGTGGCCTCTTCGCCGTGACAGACAGCGGGATGCGGGGGGCAGACACGCTGACCGACGACACGCCAACGCCCCCTGTTGGGGACAGCCTGCCACTGCGCTTGCAGCCCCTGCGTCGTCGGTGCTTCTCTGGTGGCTCCCCGTCCCGGTGGCCGTGGGCGAAGGCGTGACGGACGCAACAGAGTGGGCCGCGAGGCAGGCTTGGGTCGGCCTCAGGACCGGGACAGCCGTGCACTCGCTGCTCGCACTCCTGCAGCCTCAGCTCCCGCTGGCTGCCCTTCCGGGTCCGTCCACGTCGCTGTTCAGTCTGCTTGCGACACTCCGGGGGGAGCATCGCAGAGGCTGGCTGCTCCGTGGGGTATGGGAACCTGGGGTAGGACACGCACGCGCACACACACACACACACGCACACACACACACGCACACACACAAACACAGAGCAGGCTCAGCACGGTCTGCATGCAGCCCTGCCGATGGGGAACGCCCCGCCACGTGGTCAGGGCCAGCTGGGTGACCCCCAGGGGGTGCTACTGTGTGTGTGCGCGGCACAGCTTGGCGGGAAAAGGGAATTCATGTGTAAGAAGATGAATAAATGAACGGCACTTACATTTAAATAGCACTTTTCATCTGCTCAGGACCCCAAAGTGCTTCGCAAACCCTGCAGAACAGAATCACCTCAGAATCGGGATGGTGAAGCTCACCCTCTGCTTTCTCCCTAACCCCCCCCCCACCCCAGCCCCCCAGCCACAGCCCCGCTACCGGCAGCTCTTTGTTGTCACGTTAAAACTTCCCAAAAATTCATATGATAGGAGGAGGCTTGAACCGAGCTCCTTCTGGCGGCTCTGAAAGTGAAATCACCCTGATTTGCATCAGGGAAGGTCGTGAACCAGGGGCTTATTTTCAGCTCAGAGGAGAGGAGCTCATCCTGCACAAAGTCTTTGAAATATTAAAGAAGGGACAGGGACAGGTCAGCACCGTGGGGGGGGGGGGTGAGGAGGCAGAGCTAAGCCCGAAACGCTGTGTCTGGCTGGGAGAGGTCACCCAATTAAAACTGTAATCCCTCAGCTCGCTGCGTTACAATATGGCGACCCGATAACACCTCATATCTGGGAGGCGGGGGCCCGTGGGGCCGTGGGGCCCGTCCCGGCACTAGGCGATCTCACTCAGCGCGGTTTTGGGCCAAAATGCCTTTTTGATGTAACATACCACTCTGGTGTCCCTGCTGTGGGATAACCGGGCGATACTTCTGTCTTTAATTGGCCGGCTGGCCGTGAAAAGGGGCAAGACAAAGCATTATCTGAGGATGCTGGGAACTGGGTTGCTTGCGACCCCCCCCCTCCCCCCCGCCTGCTTGGGGAGAGGCTCAGCGGCCATGTTCACGAGTCGCTTGCAGTTCAGGTTGTCCAAAAATTGACACCAGGCACCGCAGCAGTCTGCCTGACCTTTGACCCACACCCCCCCACACACACACACAGCCGTAACAGACCCCCAACTCCGTGGGGAGGTCAGTACTCGCACACAGGACAAAGAGAAACCTAAAAACCTTTTGGTCCACTCAGAACCCAGTCACAGCCCAGTAAGAGCACGGAAGAGAAGGGGGCATCCTGCCAGCCTGTGGGATGCGGGGGGCCCTGGAGGGTGCGCTGGGCCGGGGTGGGGGGGCCTCGCTCACCCGTCACTCAGAGTCGCCGATATTTAATTACTGACAGAGTCAGTAGGGCTCAGCCCTGCTAATAATGCAGAACACAAACAAGCAGCTGATTTTCAGCCGAAATCCAGGGGAAAAATACTTTGGATAAACAGAAAATGGGGACATTCGCCAGTTTAATTAAACAGGCATGTAAACAATGATTCTGCCCCAGCTGTGCGTGTAGCGTGTGCATGTAGTGTGTGCATGTGGCGTGTAGCGTGTGTGTAGCACGTGCATGTGGTGTGTAGCGTGTGCGTGTAGTGTGTGCCGTGTAGCGTGTGCCGTGTAGCGTGTGCCGCGTAGCGTGTGTGGCATGTGGCACATGGATGTTCTGTCTGTGTTCTACAGGTTTTTTCTGCCTTCCAGGGGAACTGGCATCAGAATGTATGAATGTGTGTGTGCCCTGCAATGGACTGGCATCCCGTCCAGGGTGTACCCCAGCCGTGGCCCCGTGATGGATCGGAATCCCGTCTGGGGTCTACCCCACTCCCAGCCCTGTACTGGATAAGCAGTTGTAATAATAACACTAATAATATTAATGAAATATTAGTAATAATGATTTATAATAATGGGTATAAGGAGAAACTATGGGAGCGGGCAGTTTGGCTGCATTTGACATTGACGGAAGCAGAAGGACACGGCAGCAGGTCGCGACCTCCAGCCCGCAGATCTCTTTCCCGCAGTAGGTGCTCGACCATGAGGTGCAAAGCCGCCCGGACAGAAAACTCCAGGGACGGACCGATGCAACTCGCAGGCCGTGTGGCGTGTGAAACATCGGCCGCGTAGCGGGACCGCCCCCCCCCCCCCGCCCTGTATCCAGGGGCCTCACGAGACGTCCGGCCGTGTGCCTGTTTGGCGGGACTTCTGCTGTATGCCGCAGTTAATGTCACATTTCTCAGATCAGTCAGGAGAACCTGCTACTGCTTCCAGAAGCTCCAGGTCATTAACAACAAGCAGACAGATAAACCTCGGATTTGAGGGAACCTGTGTTTACTGCTCACCTGAAGATAAAGGTGTTTGTTGGGAGTGTGGCCTGCACCAGGCTTACGCTGCTTCACATCCATGCCCAACATGGCCTAACATAACTATAACCAAACCACTCCCATAGCTACATTCCACAGAATGCAGGAAGGTTCGTCCCAGAGCGCTGGATAACAGAGGCTGGCTGTGTGAACGCACCATATACAGTCAGGACAAGAGGAATGTCATTAGAAGAAAGTGTGCGGGGTGAAGGCCGAACAGGGGGTGGGAGCTGATTCACAGCTGGGCGGAGTCAGGGGACAATGGAGGAGGGAATGGCCAAGTCAGGCTGGTAGAAAGGCGGAGTCAAGGTGAATGGGTGGGGTCAGGGTGAATGGGTGGGGTCAGGGTGAATGGGTAGAGTGAAAGTCAATGACTGGGGTCTAGTGAGGAAGAATCAATTGGGCCAGGGTGGGTGGGCAGAGTCAGGATGTATGATTTGGGCTAGGATCGGTCGGTGGGTTGAGTCAGGATGAATGAATGAATTGGGCCAGAGTGAGTTGGTGGGTGGGCGGAGTCAAGATGAATGATTTGGGCCAGAGTGAGTTGGTGGGTGGGCGGAGTCAAGATGAATGATTTGGGCCAGAGTGAGTTGGTCGGTGGGTTGAGTCAGGATGAGTGATTTGGGCCAGAGTGGGTGGGCGGAGTCAGGATGAGTGATTTGGGCCAGAGTGGGTGGGCGGAGTCAGGATGAGTGATTTGAGCCTGACTGATTGGGCGGAGTCAGGATAAATGAATGATTTGGGCCAGAGTGAGTTGGTGGGTGGGCGGAGTCAGGATGAATGATTTGGGCCAGAGTGGGTGGGCGGAGTCAGGATGAGTGATTTGAGCCTGACTGAGTGGGCGGAGTCAGGATGAATGAATGATTTGGGCCAGAGTGAGTTGGTGGGTGGGTGGAGTCAGGATGAATGATTTGGGCCAGAGTGGGTGGGCGGAGTCAGGATGAGTGATTTTGATACAGGTGGGTGGAGTCATGGAGAAACATGGAGGAGCTGCTCTGACGGCAGTTGAAAGGGGTGGGGGGGGAGCTCGCCTCCCTTACTTGAGCCTCGTGGTGGGGAGGACGTGGCACTTCTTGTGCTCCCGTAGCTGCTCGGGGCTGTCCATCAGCTTGTGGCAGATGTCGCATTCACATCCACGTGCCAGGAGGTGCGCCTCCACGTGGCGCTCCTGCATCGCCCTGGTCTTGCACACAAAGTTGCAGAAGACGCACTCAAAGCCTGCAGGGAGACAGCCGGGCCATTAGTGAGGCCTGGGGAGAAGGGGGGAGGGGGGCGATGACGATGACGAGGTGTCTTGCTCTGTACCCTTTTCTGTCCTCTCCTCCGTTCCTGATCCTGAGTGGCTGTCTGCAGAAGGGGGCGTGGCCAGCAAGCCCTGCAGTCCGTCATTACCGTGGGCAACGTCACCACTCTCCGAGCCGCTGATGGAGTCACTGAGGGCCGACAGGGAGGAGGAGGTGCTTTTGGTCTCGCTGAGGGGACTTCTAGAGCTGCACCCTATAGGACAGATGCACACTGGATACTTCAGTTCACTTCAGGGCACAGGATGCCAGCGCATCACAGGGCACAGGGTGCCACAGGGCACAGGATGCCAGCGCATCACAGGGCACAGGATGCCACAGGGCACAAAATGCCAGTATGTCACAGGGCACAGGAAGACACAGAGCACAGGATGCCAACATGTCAGGGGCACAGGATGCCGCAGGGCACAGGATGTCAGCACATCACAGGGCACAAGTTGCCTGTGTGTCACAGGGCACAGGACACCAGGGTGTTGCAGGGCACAGGAGGCTGCAGGGCACAGGATGCCACAGGGCACATGATGCCAGCGCATCACTGGGCACAGGATGCCAACGCATCACAGGGCACAGGATGTCGCAGGGAACAGGAAGTCAGCATGTCACAGGGCACAAGGTGCCATCGTGTCACAGGGCACAGGATGCTAGCACATCATAGGACGCCAGTGGGTCACAGAGCGCAGTACGCCGCAGGGCACAGGATGCCAAAGGGCACAGAATGCCAGCACATCACAGGGCAGAGGATGCCAGAGCATTGCAGGGTGCAGGGACGCCAGTGCATCAAAGAGCACAGGATGCCATAGGGCACAGGAATGCCAGCACATCACAGGGCACAAGATATCAGTGGGTCACAGGGCACAGGAATCAGTGCATCACTGGGGACAGGATGCTGTAGGGCACAGGATGCCAGAGCATCACAGGGCATGGGATGCCAGGGGGTCAGAGGGCACAGGATGCCACATCACATCACAGGGCACAGCATGCCAGCGCATTGCAGGGCATGAAATGTCAGCACGTCACAGGGCAGAGGATGCCAGTGTGTCAGAGGGCACAAAATGCCACAGGGCACAGGATGCCAGCATGTCAGAAGGCACAGGATGCCAGTGCATCACAGGGAACAGGATGCCAGTGTGTCAAAGAGCATACACTTAATAACACACCAAGGATGAATTAGGGGCACCAAGCCACCCAAACCCACACCCACACAAACACAGAGTCCATGCAAACCTCATATGGAGACACACACAGCCAGAGGAAGCCCTGGCGGCCTGAGGTCACCATGAGCACTGCAAGGGGTGGTGTTATACCACCCCCATTTTGACTGAAATATCAGCCTGTCCAAAGACCCTGTCCAATGAGCATGTCCAATGAGCATGTCCAAAGACCATGTCCAATGAGCATGTCCAATGAGCATGTCCAATGAGGCTGTCCAAAGACCATGTCCAATGAGGCTGTCCAATGAGGCTGTCCAAAGACCCTGTCCAATGAGCCTGTCCAATGAGCCTGTCCAATGAGCATGTCCAATGAGCATGTCCAATGAGGCTGTCCAATGAGCCTGTCCAATGAGCCTGTCCAATGAGCCTGTCCAAAGACCCTGTCCAATGAGCCTGTCCAATGAGCCTGTCCAAAGACCCTGTCCAATGAGCCTGTCCAATAAGCATGTCCAATGAGCCTGTCCAATGAGCCTGTCCAATGAGCCTGTCCAAAGACCCTGTCCAATGAGCCTGTCCAATAAGCATGTCCAATGAGCCTGTCCAATGAGCCTGTCCAATGAGCCTGTCCAAAGACCCTGTCCAATGAGCCTGTCCAATAAGCATGTCCAATGAGCCTGTCCAATGAGCCTGTCCAATGAGCCTGTCCAAAGACCCTGTCCAATGAGCCTGTCCAATGAGCCTGTCCAAAGACCCTGTCCAATGAGCCTGTCCAATGAGCCTGTCCAAAGACCCTGTCCAATGAGGTGGTCCATTGAGTTAGTATAATGAGCCTGTCCAATGAGCTTGATCATTGAGCTTGTTCTCAGCCCAGATCTATGGGAGGCAGTGGGACTGTTTCTGTGCCCCCGGCAGCTGATGTCACCGTGGCGAGAGGGTGGCCATTCCAGCCCAGACACCTCCATGCTCGTTTCTGAGCAGTACAAGATGAGCGGGCCGAGGCCCCCGGGCTTCTGGGCTTTTCCTGAACACATTTTTACTGCTACACAACATTAACTGCTGTCATCATGCTGCTCATGGTCGACCCACTGTGTGCTTTGGGGCACCTGTGCGGGGAAACATGCTGTATCAAAATGAAGTGGGAAAAAGTAACTGGATCCCAGTGCCTTCAGCTTGGTATTATACTCAGAAATAATCACAACACTCATCATCCTGACGATGAGACACAAATTAATTAAAATGCAGAAGTTGGGTGTCCCGATGCATTTGAATGTGCATTAATTAGCACAGTGCAGTGCAAATGCATTTCAGTATGGAAATATAACCAGTGTATTTTACTGCTGTTTTAAATTCCGTTAAATAAACAGTGCTAACCCAGGAATTATGAGATTAGAGCTCTGAGGATCATAACGATGAAGATTAGCTGAATTTGTAGATAAAAGCCCCTGATTTCATTAAGTCTGTCTGGCCGCTGGGAGCAGCTGCAGTTGGCACAGTAATGGGAGGTCAGTGACTCGCTCTCGGGCTGTAAAACCGGTCCTTTCGTGTGTCATTTTGGCGCCGGCCTGGAATGAGGGTCCTTCACGAGGCTACACCAGTGCTGCCGAGACAGAGAACCTTAGCAGAAGGGTCCCAAGCTCATGGCAGCCCCAGACTTGGCTGTTTTCATAGCCCGGGGGCTGGGTTACACACAATCTAGGATAGGCTGCACATTTTGTCTTGGCGTGAGTTGAGAACGGTGTACAACTGTACAAATCTATGGATGAAAAACATGCATTTGTATTTACTAAGCTAAGTCAAATTTGCCAGTAAGCAGTGCTTGAAGTGGGCCGGTACTCAACGGTACGGAGTACCAGCACCTCTTTGGTGTCCTTTTCAGAGTACCGGCACCTGGTATTGGACAACAAGGGGAGTACCTGCACCTGGTACTGAATAACAAGGGGAGTACTGGCACCTGGTACTGAATAACAAGGGGAGTACCTGCACCTGGTACTGAATAACAAGGGGAGTACCTGCACCTGGTACTGAATAACAAGGGGAGTACCTGCACCTGGTACTGA